TCAAGTGAAGGATAGCGAGAATGGGCTAGAGGGGATTTGTGTTTCTTCAGACAGAGTCAATTATGGGGAATTCTTTTTATTTTCAGGGATAAGTAATTCAGGTTTGAAGATTCTTCAGAATTTTTCAATCAAACAATTCCGTCATATTTCCCCGGAAAATCCTGGATAATTACACCCAAAATTACAGTCTACTGTGCTTATCAAAATATGCATTAAGTTAAATCTAGTGGAATTTAACGGAATTCCTACCGCTGAATCTTTCCTTTGGGACTCGGTATAATCGGGCTGAACGAATGAGCGGATGAAAACTTTTAATTTTCATTTTCATTCAAGTGTAAAAATTTCCATTCTATCTGAAATAATTCGCTACCTCCAACTCCGTTCAATCGTTCAAAAGTTGGACACAACTTCGGGGTTAAACGGCATTCGTGCGATCCGCTGTAGTGGCCATCATTTTTTTTTTATTCCACCACCCCCATTTATTTTTTCCTCATCATACCACCAACCCCATTTATCCCTGCGGTGGAATAAGACGGGCCAACTTTCACCCAGAGTTTTCTACGTCGATAAAAGAACGTTCGGACTAACTCCTCACTGGACTTTTCACTGACCGCCCTCGCTTGACCTATCTTATTCTTGTCTTTCTTCATTCTCTCATGTTTTTCCAAGTCTCACTGCCTCACTTGCTGTTATGTGCAAGAAGTACTTCATATTTCATACGAAACATGTAGCTGAGACAGTTTTCTTCTGGTACTTCGCGAGAAAAAAAAATCAGTCGGATTGTTGGACATCTATTCTCTTCATTGTTTTCACTCGTACCCGAAGAGCAGTTCGAGTGAGATTACTGGAAATAATATGAGTTTAAACTCTCGGTGATAATTTATCGAATGAATGGCCCAATTTTAATGAAAAATCGGGATAAAACGAGCGATTCTCGAGCTGTTTGATAAAATGTAACGAAAAGTTCGGAAATAATTCCATCGATTGCGGTTTATTTTAATCTACCTCGGTACCTTGTTATTTTCATCGAGTAGTTTTAGGATAATGGACCTCAGGATCCATTACATTTGAGCAGCTTCTACTCTTCCAACAACACCGATGAGTGTTGATTCAGAATTCACTGGCTGTTTAATTTTTTTAATTTTATTTCATTGCTGTAAAAAAAAACATCTGAAATAGTCGAGTAGATTTCAACCCACTCATCCCCTGAATAAATACCGTAGGTGCATTCAACAACTCCATTCTCATTCAAAAATTCAGATTTTGTTTCTCCAATGAGCACCGGAGAACGAAATTTCCGCTTTTTTCAAGCGCCTTTGAGGAAAAAAAAAAAAAAACGTCTCTTTTCACCGGAAACTTTCCCGCGCTTTCTGCTGGCCCACTCGAAAGCTCTTGGAATGAATAAAAGAAAAAGTTGGGAACAAAGATGAAAATAAATGTTGGACAATTAAGTTCTCTTCTTCAAGGGGAGTAGACAGAAAAGTGTCTGTTTAATTTTTTGTTTTACGAGGACATCGTGTTTAATAGTTTTTAAATTTAGGGGTTGAAGGCGGGAATACGATTGGGTCAATCGACAATTGGCCTTGACAACCCCCAATTCAGAGATTTGACCTTCACAACCCCGAAATTAGACCCTCAAGCCGTGACTTCTTCATCTCCCCCTCAAATAAACATTGAAATATGCCCTCCAACTCGATTCAACCCCTGGAAAAATCATCCCCCGAGTCCTGAACGCATCCATAAAAGCAGTTGTGTGAAAATCGTGAAAAAAAAAGAGAAAAGTTGGTAAAGCGGGTCGCAGAGTGGGAGCCTAGCCCCAGTGACACCAATTTGGTGACAGCATCTGGGGGATATATAGCTGGGGATATTCGGTAGAGTTACGGTTCAGAGATGCTCTAGGGGGAATTGGACGAGGGGAAGGTCTGGTAACTCTCACCCCCTGCTGGCGGTCTAGGGAGGGTGAAAAGGGGATGGGTATGAAACTTAGCAAATGGGTCGCTCGGCCAAGGGAATTCCAACATGAGGGTGCGAGGGGGGGTTAAACACCAGAGGAATGGGCGCACTCTCGCTGAATAACAGACAAACACCCCTTTATATTTCTCCCTCATTGCCATTTGCCTCCCCCCAACTTTCTGCGCTACCGCAATCCCATGGGTAAATTATTGACATTTTCTACGCATGTGAATTTTACGGTTGGCAATTTACCGTGGGACTATTTCATTCGGTCAGAGACCGAATTGTTTATGGAGTAAATCCCAAACTTTGCCACCAACTCGGCTTTTGACATTTCGAATTCCACCAATTCGTATTTATTTTTTTCCCTGACTCGCAATTCTCTCGGAATTCTCGAGCACCACAAAATCTTTGAGACCTCATGAATATTTAAGCAATAACAAAGCCGAGGACATAATCACTCTTAAACAAACTAAAAATCCAACGCTCCAGGAGGTGGAGGAGGGAAAAAATCCACCTGGGTATATGCTGTATGCATTTAACAAGGATTTAAATTCCCCCGCGTATTCGAAATTCCGTGTTAGAGGGCTCGAGAAACACTGCAGTGTGGGGAGAAAAAAAAATGAGAAGAAAGGAAATGGAAATTGATATTTTATTCATACACCCTCGAGGCTTTGAAATCGTTAAGACTGTATTTATTTATGCATACCAAAGGCGTCTTGAACTCCCCGACTCCTAGCAGTTGCCCTCATCGGCGTGCACCTCATCCTCGGAGAGTTCCTAGATGAAATTAATTTCCAAGTTTCGGAGAAATCATGAGCAGTTTAAACTCTTATTTAACAATCTCCAAATCTCCTAGATTAAAAATTTGATTCCACAACTCCAGGCAGAAACCCTTCGAATCCAAAATTCCCTATATCAGCCTAGTGACTTCTGGAGTGAATCCTTGGATAAATCCCGGGGAATCCCCACATTTTCCGACACATTCCCCCTCAATAAACAAATTCACTCATTTTTTATCACCGATCGACGTGAGTCCATCGCTCTCCAGTCACAACTACACGTCAGGGTATTTTAATACGAATTTTAAAACGCGGGAATATTCGCATCATTCGAATCGATATCATCCGTATAATTGAAAATTCCATAAACCCACCGTCTGGTTCATTAAAATCGGTGGATATGAAAAATTCAAACCTCCCCTCCCTCTGCCAATTAATCTCGCGATAATTATTTGTCAGTTAACGGTAAATGTAATCACAATGCGAGACGATTAACTGCTCGCCACTTGGAATTCCAACTGCACTGTATTTATTCGTTGGTGTTCAGAGGTGTAACGCTTTGCTAGCAAATGCACAGCCTGTTAAACGACCGACTGAATGACATTCAGTGACTGATTGCAATCGAACTCAATTCCCACAATAAAAATAGTGTTTCGTCGATCATTGTGATCACTGTTGAATTTTTACAGTATTTATTTATCATCCTTTATCATCCCCTTTCATCCCCTTTCGTTCTCTTTCATCCCCATGGCTTTCACCGTCAAATCCATTTTCCCCACTTTTTCATTCATTTAAAAAAAAAATGTCAAATTCAAAACAATTGGATAAAACATCACTCTGGCGTGTTCTATTGTCCATATTTCTGTGTTTATCTGTGAAATGGGAATTTTTGAAAAATTGTAGGAAGAACTTTTGACCCGTGAGGGTCAGTATTAAATTAATGGTTTTGTGGTCATCCCAATGGATCAGTGAGCGCCTCTCATATTTTTACAACCTTCATCTCGTTTTTATATGATACCATCAAAAATAAAATCTTGGTACTTTTAAATTTTTATCAGTTATTTTTCGTTTAATGATAAATCGATATGCCGGCTTTCGTGATATCACACAGCTCTTCATGTGAAAAAGAGAGAAAAAAAGAATCGCTGGATTCCTGTTGAGGAACAAAACGAATTGTTCTTTGATATCCGTGTGTATTCCCCAATGAGCGCTTCAATGTTTTATGAATGCTCAAAGTGAAATATGAATATGGGTGTGGGTGAGATACTCACATGCTCTCAGATGTTCCGAGAAATCCGCTATTGTCCCGGGAGCAGTTAATAAATCGCGGGAAATCGATTGAATCACGTAGCCGAGGAAAAATTATTCTTGACTAAAAAAAAGTGTCGAGAAAAAATTATCAAACCGAATATTTTTATTTTTTATATTTCTTAACAAGTGCGGAAAAGTGATTGCCAAAAATCAACTTTCCGCACTTGTCATGAAGCGCTACTATTTTAAAAAATTTCCAGTGAAGATATAATTTCACCTGTTATACCAGAATTTGGAAATCAACAGTCTCCCATTGTCCTATTGATCTCCAGCCCAAGGACACGAGGACCCCTCACCCTGAAATAACAATTTGTTAGGGGCTCCCAACATCTTACTTGCTGACTCAACACTCAGCTAATTCTCCCAAGTAAAGAGTAAAACCATCTCCGAACTTTCGATTCCAAACTCGGCGAAGAGGTAAAAGTTTCGAGGATTGGGGTGTGGAAAACGTGAAGCCAGCACTCTGCGTGGAATTAATAGCATCAGAACAAGAGAGATATATAAGGAAGAGGGAGCATCTGTAATAATCTGAAATCCCGCCAACTCACGGCAAACGGTTGTTACCCGTTAACCGCCCTCAAGTCTTGTATCTTGTTACCGGTTTCCCTTTGACTCGTTATCATTCCTGAATTAATAAGATTCCGTTATTGCGTCTGTCGTATCTGATTTGTTGCCTCTCCAACCGCCCCGACATGCCATAATTTCGGGATGACACCTCCGGATGTCGAGGATTTCGTAATTCTAGGTTAAACCTGAATTAATCCCATTCATTCATCTCAAAAGGGATTAATTCCTCGATTACCTCCACCGAATAATAAATCCAAACAGAATTTTTCACAATAGCGATAGTGTCTCGCCCAAGTTCACGTTCACCAGCATTCATTGACGTTAACTTGGCTGAGACACTGCCGTCAATTTTTTAAAATATTTTCTTAATCAATAATTTTGTTACAGACGTGGCCTCCGGAATCGTGTGAGCTGTCCAGGAAATACGGGCAACGTTAGGTGAGTCATTTATAAAATATTATATAAATGGTGTGATGGAGTCGGTGAAATTTTCGGTTGGAAAGTTTCCCGGGGGAGATACTGCGAGTTGCTGAAGGTATACCAGGGGGCTTTCGAAAGTGACGACCAGGGTCCAACTTGTTCCCGTCGTCACGTTCGACTTTCTGAAAACTTATGCCCCCCTCAACCCCCTAGCAACCCCCAAGATATAGCCCCTGGCGATCGATTGAGGACACTGCGGCTATCGTTGAGTTTTCAGGTGATACCGTCACATTACACTTGGGAAACATCACCGCTACGTGTCTCGGACATATTCCCACGGTCGTAAAATTTTTCTCAACCACCTGGGAAAAATGAAAAACAAGGATTTCCCCGCCAATCCTCGTATTAAAATAGTAAATCCATTTTTATCTCAACAATTTCATGTCCACACGTTGTAACCATCAACTTTCGTAAAAATTGACCAATTATCGGGTTCTTACATCACGTCTCGCCAATATTCCAAGGAATTCTGAAAATTATTCCCCCAACATGAGCAGAACTTCGTCATTCTGGGTTGCACGAAGTTCCCCCCAAGTTGAAACGAAAACAGTAAAAATAATAATAATAAAAATAATCAGTGCCGTATGTACCACTGAGAGGCTCATTATCCTTTCAACTCAGCATCTCAAAATTTTCTGTTTTCGATGTCTCAAGAGCCTCGAGACTCTAACCAAAACCCGAATTCAAAGGACGGTGGGGTGTACTATAAACGAATAAGAGAGTTCATTTAACCGTTTTCAAGTAGAGAAAGAAAACTCCTTGCGTTGAGAAAAGATAGTGAGGACTAATGATCATGCATCTGGGAATCGTGCTCTAGGTTCTTTGAAAACCATTTCCTGAGGTCTCGCCTTAATCCCACCCCCTCTACCCCATCAACCCCATCTACTTCAAGTCCCACCCACGTCTATGTGGCCATTCAAACATACCGTGGCATCATCATCGTTCGCCCTCCGGTGGTTTTCAACCAAGGGTGAAGAGGGGTTGAGCAAATGGATATCTTTGTGTGGAAGTACCACGGAAATTCCAGAGGTCGAAACGTTTCAAGTGGACCTTCATACAATTATTCAACCGCTCAGGTGTACAATTACACAGCTAATCGTTCATTGTCTGCACTTAAATGTCTGGTCTTAATCCCGTTTGAAGGGTTAAATTGCGGAATTATACACCTACCGAGTACTGGAGATCCGCTTGATAACAGGTAGATTGAACTGGGTGAGATAGAATCGTCTCAGACATGTCGTGAGTTCAAATCTCGGTTCGATAATTCGATAAAATTTTGATAAAATTAAAATAATTTTGGGTGCGAGTGAATCTTCATTTTGTTTTCTCCAGTCAATCTGCCTTTTATCCGGTGCACTGACAGAGGAAACAGAAGAGAATTGGAACGATTATGTCGGAATTGCTTTTCCATGTTGTGGTTTTCCATGCTGTGAATCCCCAGGATGGAAACGCGAAGTTGAGAAAAGAGGGAGAGAGTAGAATAGAAAAAAAAGATCAGACTCGCAGATTGAAGTGGATTTTTTAGAGACCGCTGGAGATTTTTCATTTCCCGGAAAGCACTCGATCAATCAGAAAAGACAATTCCTCCTCCAGTGAATTAATCGAATTAGTATCCCCCCATACGCAGGTTTTTCCACAAATATCAGATTTTGTTTATTAAATCCATCGAAGGAGAGAAAAAAGTTATGGCACTCGCAGGCTAGAACGCCATAACCCGAAAGCATAAAATGGGGATAATAAAGTTGAAATAAATCGAGTATATTTTGACGAACGTTGAACCAGACATAAAAGTGTCTGTCTCGTGTCCTCTGGGATAAAAACACTCGATCTTCCAATACCGGGATCGAATACAGATGACACAGAAAATCCGTGAGAGAGGGTGGGGGGGTGGTAGGGGAAGCAATTTGCCGCAGAGCCCCCGCAGAAAATTCTTTTTCCTCGTTTATTCCACCTTCTGCTTTATACTTACTCATATGTACACAGTTTTTCTCCGTCATCTCCACTCGATGATCCAGATGCACTCGCATTTACCATTCAACAAGCAATTTTAGAAATTATAGATATTTTATAGAGACTATTACGTGAAGTTCTGAGAATCAATCAAATAATTGAAAAATCTATTAAATGGTATAAAAAATAGCGTGGGTAAAAAAAAATTGTGATCGGAATATTTTTTCTGAATTTTCAAAAAATTTGGGGAAATTTTTCCGTTTTTTTTTTTATTAAACAAAAAAAATAGGAGAACAAAACTTTTTTATTTTTTTTTGAGAATATTGAAAAATGAAAAAAATAAGAAAACAGCAGTATAATTAAAAAAAAAAATTATACTCGCAAAAATTTCTGGAAAATTATAAAAAAATTTTGCAAACCAAATATTGGAAAAATTTTTCAAAACATTTCTAAAAAATACAATTGTCTTGTTTCCCTTTTTTTTGTTGCAAAATAAAAATTTTCTGAAAAGTTTTCCAGAAATTTTTTGAAAATTCGGAAAAAATATTCCGATTACAATTTTTACCCGGGAGCGCAACCACTGACTCGTAAATTCTAATGTTCACTCCCTAATTATTAAATGTTCATTAAGTTCTCGAGTTTTTTTAATGAGACAAGTTGTATTAATAAGAATCACCCCCGGGAAATAAAAAAGACAAATCTCTCAATCATCATTAAGTCATGACACAGGTCAGAGTAATCATAAAAAAAAAAACTATCCCCCAAATAAAAAAGATGAAAAAAAAAAAACAGTGGAAAATGCAAGTTCATTAACTGTTTATTTTTTTACGGGAGTGAAATCTAGTGAACCGTGTGGTGAATGCCCATAAATAATGGTGCATCGAATGGCGCATGTACAGGAGCTTTGTAATCCACCTCCAACCAAGAGAAATGAAAATCTACGGGCAACCCCATTCCTCCCTTTGTACCTCTCCTTCCTCTGGCTATTTCTCTACCTCACTCACTCCTCCTCATTGAACTCGTTAGCATAGATAACGACGCCCTGATATTTCCCTCACATACACACATTTATTTACCCCATGGGCAACCAAAGACTCCAACCAGTCTCATTCGAGTTGAGAGATCGATAGATGTGATTTCGATTCTCTCTCACGTTTCCAATGATGCTGACAAAACTTTCTACTTATTTCTTTTACCCCATTAATTTTCTCTCATTCTGTAATTCACGTCAACCAATCAGCATTCGAAAATCCACAACTCTATTAATAATCCGTTCGATAGTTCTCGAAATTTATCGCATAGTTCTCGAAATCTATCGCATAGTTCTCGAAATCTATCGCATAGTTCTCGAAATCTATCGCATAGTCTCAAAAATTCGCTGAATTTTCCGGGAAATGAAATTTTTTTTTTAATTTAAGTGTCGCGCTCTAAATATTCTCTCCCCGTTTGGAAAAAAAAATAATAATAATTTTATAAGGGGCCCCAAATAATAGGAACCCCATACCCTCCCTCGGGAGTTCCCCGGGGACGACTGAGGGGCATCCCCCTCCCAGAAAAATAAATAACACGCGAAGAAATAAATAATAGAAAACTGAGAAGAATGCAATATACATCAGAGCTCACGAAAGCTTGAGCACGCGCGTGTTTCTCCCTTATTACTCTCCCCATTCCTTTCAAGCTTTATTTCATTATGTATTTCACCAGTGACTCCTCCCGGCATCACGACTTTCCTCGGTCCAACCGACCCCAAGAGTTTGATACCGGGAGGAAAAAGTATACAGAGAATTTTCATAAAAAAAAAAAAAATAAAGAAGAAGAATCTATTCCGACTCGTGAACAATGTTGGAGACAAAAGGAATGAGCGAACGGTGGAACGGATAAATAAAAAATGCTGGAAAACTTTTTCCTCTTGTCGCGAAACTCTCGCTCTGGAGTTTTTTTCATATGGAGACAGATATATCGGGGGTATCAGATAGTAAGACTTTACGAGAAATTTTTTACTCGCTGTGGATACGTCTGCCATTTTTATTTTCTGGTGTTATTTGAATTATTTCGAGGATTAGAGTCTACGACTAGAATCGCTTTTGCGCCTGTCACTCGGTCAAAAAAAAATTCTTGATTCCATGTGAATTAAATATTTAAAATGTCATTAAGATATTGGAATTTATGTGCCTGTGTATATCCATGCTTTTGCAAATTAGAATCGATTTTTCAATTTTTTATTAACAAAGCTGGAATGCTATAAATAAAAAATAAAAAATCACTCGGTGAAAAGTAAGGGAATGACGGGGGCGGCGTGCGCTTGACGAGTCGCGTGATTAATTTTCCGGTCTAAGGAGAAAAGTAAGAATAAAAAAAAAAGTGAAAAAAGAAACGAAAGCTTTGATAAAGCGTCCCACCCCCTCTCGCTACCGATTCACCAGTCCACTTAAACCTTCTTTCCCCCCTCGTCAGTTTTTTTTTCTTATTTTTTTTTTATCCCCAGCAACTTTAGATTACTTACCCACTGGGAGTGCGGGAATACGTTTTTCCTGCAGTCTCCGATGTGCAGTTTAACATGCACGTCATTTGATATATGAAGTAATGCCCAGTACTTCTGGATGATAAAAAAAAAAAGAGGGGGTTAAGTTTTTATTGCACTGGGGAAATGTGGCTTCGGTGGAGATGACGTGAATGAGTTACAATTTATTTATTTTTCATTTATTCTCGAGAAATAATTCAAAATTTCAGACTGACGCATTTTTAAAAATCTCTTCAATTATTTTTATTTAAAAAAAAAATTTGATAGGAAATCCACACGTACATCAGATTTTCAATGGAGTCGAGTCACTCCTCTACCGCGATAAGATAATTTTTATCATAATTCTAGATTTTCAATGGAATTATGCACTTCATGATTTTATTCATTATATCGTATAGCCAAGAGATTTTTATTTAAATTTTAAATAATATTCTCATATTATTTGACAGACTGATAGACTTCGATGGTATCATTTATTTGGAGAATAATTCCGGGGTGTATCACAAAACTGAATTCAATCTACCACAATTTTTTATTGCACAAACCCATTTTTTACAGTATTATTTAAACAAGAACGATTTCTCGTTTTCCTTCGTAGGATTTTATTCTTTAACTTGCCAATAGTTTCTGGAAATGGATATGATTAGGCGAGATCATGCCGGAAGCCTGAGCTGCAAGACGAAAAGCTTCCTTCATGGGATAACTGTCATTGTTCACACGTTCCTGAGAACAACAATAATAAATTCGTTTTAAACAAATAGATCGATCCTTCAAACTAGTTTCAAATCTCATGCCTCAATTTTTTTATTCGTTCAAAGTCTGTTGACTTGTCTTTTCTCGACGTGACGTATCCTCTGGGGAATTTCAATAGCAAATATTTTTTGGAGTAATTAATCGAAATGATGATGACAATGACTTACGACTTCAACATTTTCCATCTGGAGATTCCTCTTGACGAACGTGCAGGTCGTGCAGATGAGAACTTTCTCGTGTCCAAGGCTCCTGGCAATTTTTACAGCTTCCTGAGCTGCCAGCATCTCCACTTCGTCTTTTTCTCGATGATGACGTCGCAGTGTTTGTTTGGCGTTTCTAATCGTTTATTAATCATTTAATTAATAAACAATCGTGAATTCTGTAAAATGGAAAAACTTACGCGTTATTGGCGTTGCCAAACCAGATGCCAAATCCTGCCAATGATGTCATGGGATTCCAGGATGAGCTGATGTAGACCTCACAATATCCGTCGTCAAACCTATCACAAAAATTGTTGATTAATCTAAATATTCAGTTAATAACAGAAAGTACTCACGAGAATTCCCCCATTTTGGCGGTTTTACTTCTGAAATTTGAGACTTTCCTCGAGTTCTTCAGGTATTTAACTTCTCGACTGGAATTATCGCACGTCTAACAGCTTTTGAAGTCTAGGCATTCATAATTCCTCCCACCACAATGAGATAAAATTAATCATGATTCTAGGAATTAATATTATTCACTCCATTCATTAAATCGTGGACAATCAGTGACTCACGAGGAGAAGAAAAGATCTCAAGCATGAATATTCTGGGTTGATCTATAAGCTCGTCTCTCTGGAGATATCTGGAGCTACTGATGGGAGTGATCGTTATGGAATGGAAAAAGATACGGGTTGTACCTCGACATCCGGTTGTTATCGCGGTCCAAAACGGAAGGCGGAAGTTCCGGAAGTTGCCGCTACCTCAAAACGATAACCGAAGTAGATGAAGATCGTTTGAGGGATTGGGTCTACATGTTCCTATATTCCTAGAGTCTGGAAACCAATCGTGGGATGTGGAAACTACATGCTGAAGACCTCGTCTGCTGGAGCGCAAGTTTATCTGTACATGCTCCTGTCCCCTGCTATAACTGGAAATTACACTTGAAGTTTCAAGGGAATAATTGAAATTCTAACAACTAAAAGTCTTTTAGGGATGATTTTGACAATTCGCGAAAATAATGACAATTTTTATTGATTAATTATTGAATTTGCAGTTGTAATCGTTTTGAATTAATGATTTTGGGAATTTCTAGGAAATTCCGCGGAAATTAAAATTAATTAACACTTAAAATTAAATTAACAATTACAATTACTGAAATCATTGCGCGTGAATCCCCCATTATTTTTTTTCCAAATTTTCAAAAAATTTCTGGAAAATTTTTCCGAAATTTTTTTTTTAAACAAAAAAAAATAAAAAAAACGGCATCTAATTTATAAAAAAAATGTTCTTATTCCAATTTTTAAAAAATATTTCAAAACCTTTCCCAAAAATAAAATTCTTTTGTTTTCCGATTTTTTGTTCCATAAAAAAAAATTTCTGAAAAATTTTCCAAAAAATTTTAAAAATTAGGAAAAAATATTCCGATTAAAATTTTTTTTCCGGGAACGGAATAAATTCAAGATCTTGCAAATGCGTCAGGTACTTTTAATGAGGAATCCTTTATTTTGACGCGGAATGAAAAATCTCCTTGACATGATTTCGGCGACTGCGGATTTCCCCGTCGATTTTTCCTCGGAAACAAGAAAAATAAAAAAAAAAAAGCGAGAGGGGAGTAGGGTAAAAACACACGTGTCTATTCGCGTACCTCGATGTGCTCCAGTGAACTGGCTAGGATGCGCTTCGATTCTCGCAGAAGCTCCAGGAGATATGAGCATTTGCGAGAGGAAGGGGTGAGACAAGAGCACATCGAAGATTGGCTGGTCCCATCGAGATGGGCCATGGGCACGGTTGACTTATTTTCCCATTTTAAAAAAAAAAAACCCCCAAGAGTAACCCGTGTAAGGCAGTTCATCCCAGAAATAGGACGAGTTTAATTTTTCTCCTCTCCCAGAGAGAAGTGCCACTCCATTGCTCCCAGATAATTCCGCGTAATTCCATTCCTCTGTTGAGGAGTTCTTCTATAAAGTTTTCTAATATCGTTGTTATTAAATTCATTCCCACTCCATCAGTTCTTCTCTACAACACAGATCCCAATGATTAATCAATATCCCGAGAAATTTATTTATTCAATTTTTTACATCAAGCATTGAAAATTTTATTGCCAGAGGTTGATTTAAATTTCAATTAAAAACGTTAATTAAATAATAATTGGATTTTCAATAGGTTGGGAATGGAATTATTGCCGGAATTATTATTGGTCAATGGGGAATTGGACAAAAATTTCCATGTAATTTTCTCGTTATGAAAATTATATTATTTTCATATGAATTTTTCTAATAGTCCAGGAAAAACCGCAATCAATTCCTCGAAATTGATTGAATTCGCTTTTAGAAGGGTAATGACTAATTGATGACGTCTCACGATGGATTAAGCGACCCGGAAGTATTTCCATCCACCAATAGGATTTTTCCGATAGGTTGAAGTGAGTTATATTAAAAAAAGATTTCTAATTCTATACCAGATGCTGCTTGTCGACCCTTTTACGTCCCAAACGGATGAGTTTGATTCCCAGGAAGATTGATCTCATCCTGACCTCCTCGCTTCGACGCACCCAATTTTTTACCCTCTAGGAGTAACTACAATAAAGATTTCAATTCCAATAAAATTAACGATCGAATTTTTCCACTGGTGATTTATGGTGAATCTCCACCCAGTGTCTTCGGAATAACTCATAAAAGAATTCATTGGCATCGATGAATATTCAGTGATTTTAAATAATTTCACCTCGGTGCATTCGTCGTTCAATATTCCACTTGACCCCAAGGGTTTATCTTAACTCACCTGCAAATTAATGTAGTCGAGGGGTCGATAGACCCCCCATTGGCGTGTGGAAAATTTCTGAGGTACTCTCGCATTGCGTGTTGCCAATGGGCCAATTTCTGTATCCAGTACTTTCTGAGAAAGTTCCGAGTGAAAATTTCAAAGTGCTAGATCGACAATCACGATATAAACTTGGTATTGCATGTATAACGTCACGGTGGGGGGTTATGGGGTGGGAAATTCAAAATCATCAGACGAATCCTCAATTAATTGAGTTCTGTAATTTATTTATTCTCTCCTGACTTCAATTCAATTCAATTTTACATTTTATTTATTTAATTCATTCGGTTGCGAGTTACACCACCGGAAAATTTATAATTGTAAATTAATAACAATTCGTTA